CCCTAAATTAATACGAATGAAATAATAAATAGTAATAAGTTAGTATTTATGAATTTATGGGTATTTATTTAATAAGTATTTAATTCCATCGATTTATAAATCATCTTTATACTCACTGACTAAATGCGAATGAAATAATAAATGGTAATATGTGAGTATTTGTGAATTTATGAATAAGAGAGTATTTTGGATAAGTATTTATGTTTGATTTTAATTGCATTGATTTATAAATCATCTTTATACTCACTGGCTAAATGCAAATGAAATAATAAATGGCAATAAGCAAGTATTTATGAATTTATGAATAAGAAAGAGTGTGTATTTATGAATACTTTACAGAAACTTAAATATCTTAATATGCAGTAACTGCATAGTAACGACGTAGTAATTACATAACTACTATTAAATTTAATCATAAAACATAATTACTATGCAGTTACTGTGCATTAAGAAATTCAAAGTTTCTGTATAGTAAGTATTTATGCGAAATTCCACCAATTTATAAATCGACTTTGTACTCACCCTCTAAATGCAAAAGAAATAAAAATAATAAATGGTAAATAAGTAAGTATTTATAAATTTATAAATAATAAATGGTAAATAAGTAAGTATTTATAAATTTATGAATAAGAATGAGTATTATGAAAAGGTATTTATGTTTATGATTTAATTTGATCAATTTAAAATCATCTTTATACTCACCGGCTAAATGCGAACAATGGTAAATAAGATGAATTTATGAACAAGAAGGATTATTTATGAATAAGTATTAGTGTTTATGATTTAATTCAATCATCTTCATACTCACTGACTAAATGCGAATGAAATAACAAATGATAATAAGCGAGTATTTATGAATTTATGAATGAGAAAGTGTATTTATGAATAAGTACAGTAGATTCTCGCAATGGTCCCATTCACAATAGTACATTAATTTTTTGCTCGTATTATATATATTATATATAAATTTTTACTCATATTAGACACAATCTCGCAATAAGCACTTAAATAATCTGATTTTAGCATGTGACTATTTCGAGAATCTACTATATTTGTGTCCATGATTTCACAGTAATTCCACCAATTTATAAATCATCTTTATACTCACTGACTAAATGCGAATGAAATAATAAATTGAAATGAGTGAGTATTTATGAATTTATAAATTTGAATAGGTATTTATGCTTATGATTTCAATTCAATTGATTTATAAATCGTCTTTATACATACCACCTAAATACGAATGAAATAATAGATAGTAATAAGTAAGTATTTATAAATTTATGAATAAGAAAGAGTATTCATGAAGAAATATTTATGCCATGATTTTTTTACAGTAATTCTATCAATATATAAATCTCCTTTATACTCACCCCCTGAATTAATGAGAATGAAATAATAAATGATGATAAGTGAGTATTTATGAATTCATGAATAAGAGCGAGAGTATTTATGGATAAGTATTTATGAATAAATAAGAATTTATTACAGTAATTCATAAATCATTTTTATACTCACAGGCTAAATGCAAATGAAGTAATGAATGGCAATAAGTGATTATTTATGAATTTATGAATAAGAAAAGTATTTATGAATAAGTATAAGTATTTATGATTATGATTTTAATTCCATCGATTTAAAATCATCTTTATACTCACCGGCTAAATGCAAATGAAATAATAAATGGTAATAAGTGAGTATTTATGAATTTATGAATAAGAAAGAGTATTCATGAATAAGTATTTATGCTCATGATATTATAGTAATTCCACCAATTTATAAATTTATACTCACGTTCTAAATTAATGCGAGTTAAATAATAAATGGTAATAAGTTAGCATTTATGAATTTATGAATAAGTATTTATGTTTATGATTTTAATTCCATCGATTTATAAAGCATCTTTATACTCACTGACTAAATGCAAATGAGATAATAAATGGTTATAAGTGAATATTTATGAATTCATAAATAAGAAAGAGTGTGTATTTGAATAAGTGTCTGTCTATGATTTTAATTCCATCGATTTATAAGTCATCTTTATACTCACAGGCTAAATGCGAATGAAATAATAAATGGTAATGAATAAGAAAGAGATAGTAATTCAATCAATTTATAAATCATCTTTATACTCACCCCCTAAATTAATGCAAATGAAATAATAAATGGCAAATAAATAAGTATTTATGAGTTCATGAATAAGAAACAGTATTTATGATTTTAATTCCATCAATTTATAAATCGTCTTTATACTCACGGTCTAAATTAATGTAAATAAATAATGAATGAATGACAAATAAATAAGTGTTTATGAATTTATGAATAAGAAAGAGTATTCATGAATAAATATTTATGTTTATGATTTTAATTCCATGGACTTATAAATATCTTTATACTCACAGACTAAATGCGAACGAAATAATAAAGGTAGTATGAGTATTTGTGAATTTATGAATCAGAATGAATAAGTGTTAAAACTCATTATACTCACCGGCTAAATGCGAATGAAAAAATAAATGGTAATAAATATGTATTTATGAATTTATGAATAAGAAAGAGTATTCATGAATAAGTATTAATGTGCATGATTATTTATAGTAATTCCACTAATTTATAAATCATCATTATACTCACAGTCTAAATTAATGGGATGAAATAATAAATGTAGTAAGTGAGTATTTATGAATATAAGAATAAGAAAGTGAGGATTTATGTATAAGCATGATTTCACAGTAATTCCACCAATTTATAAATCATCTTTATACTCACCGGCTAAATAATAAATGAATAAGTTAGTATTTATGAATAAATATTTATGCCCATGATTTTACAGTAATTCCGCCAACTTATAAATCATAATTATACTCACAGTCTAATGAAATAATAAATGGTAAATAAGTAAATATTTACGAATTTATGAATAACAAAGAGAGAGTATTTATGATAAGTATTTAAGCGCATGAATTTACAGTAATTCCACCAATTTATAAATCATCTTTATACTCACTGACTAAATGCGAATGAAATAATAAATGGTAATGGGTGAGTATTTGTGAATTTATAAATAGGTATGAATAAGTATTTATGCTTATTATTTAATTCCATCGATTTATAAATCATCTTTATACTCACCGCCTAAATACGAATGAAATAATAGATAGTAATAAATAAGTGTTTATGAATTTATGAATAAGAAAGAGTATTCATAAATAAGTATTTATGTCCATGATTTTATTACAGTAATTCCATCAATTTATAAATCTTCTTTGAACTCACCCCCTAAGTTAATGCGATTGAAATAATAAATGGTAATAAGTGGGTATTTATGAATTCATGAATAATAATGTGAGTATTTATGAATAAGTATATATGCCATGATTTTACTGTAATCCACCAATTTATAAATAATCTTTTTACTCACAGGCTAAATGCGAATAAATAACAAATAGTAATGAATAAGAAATCGTATTTATGTTTATAATTTTAATTCCATCGATTTATAAATCATTTTTATACTCACCGGCTAAATGCGAATAAATAGTATGATAAATAGTAATAAGTAAGTATTAATGAATTCGTGAATAGGAAAGAGTATTCATGAATAAGTATTTATGCCAGTAATTATACCAATTTATAATTCATCTTTATACTCACATACTAAACGTGAATGAAATAATAAATGGCAATAGGTGAGTATTTATGAATCATGAGTAAGAAAGAGCGTGTATTTATGAATAATAAAGAGTATTCATGAATAAGTATTTATGAATTAGTATTTATGCTTATGATTTTAATTCCATCGATTTGTAAATCATTTTTATACTCACAGACTAAATGCGAATGAAATAATAAATGGCAAATAAATGAATAAGAAAGAGTACATATTTATGATTTTAATTCCATCAATAAATCATCTTCATACTCACGATCTAAATTAACGCGAATGAAATAATAAATAGCAAACAAATAAGTATTTAGGAATTTATGAATAATAAAGAGTATTTATGATTTTTATTCTATCAATAAATCATCTTTATACTCACTGTCTAAATTAATGTAAATAAATAAGTATTATGAATTTATGAATAAGAAAGAGTATTCATGAATAAGTATTTATGAATAAGTATTTATGCGCATGATTTTAATTACATCGACTTATAAATCATTTTTATACTCACCACTGGCTAAATGCGAATGAATGGTAATAAGTGAGTATTTATGAATTTATGAATTAGAAAGAGTATTTATGAATAGGTATTTATATTTATTATTTTAATTCCATCGATTTATAAATCATTATACTCACAGACTAAGTGAATATTTATAAATTAAGAATAACAAAGAGAGTGTATTTATGAATAAGTATTTATGCGCATGATTTTACAGCAATTCCACCAATTTATAAATCATTTTTATACGCACCATCTAAATTAATGAGAATGAAATAAAAATGGTAATAAGTGAGTATTTATGAATTTATGGATAAGTATTTATGCGCATGATTTTACAGTAATTCCATCAATTTATAAATCATCTTTATACTCACTCTCTAAATTAGTGTGAATGAAATAATAAATGGCAAATAAATAAAAAAGAGTATTTATCAATTTATAAATCATCTTTATACTCACGGACTAAATTAATGCGAATGAAATAATGAATAAATAAGTATTTATGAATTTATGAATAAGAAAGAGTATTCATGACTAAGTATTTATGTTTATGATTTTAATTCCATTGATTTATAAACATTTTTATACTCACCGGCTAAATGCAAATGAAATAGTAAATGGTAATAAGTGAGTATTTATGAATTTATGAATTAGAAAGAGTATTTATGAATTAGAAAGAGTATTTATGAATAAATATTTATGCCCATAATTTTACAGTAACTCCGCCAAGTTATAAATCATCATTATACTCACAATCTAAATTAATGTGAATGAATAATAAATGGTAAATAAGTATGTATTTATGAATTTAGGAATAAGAACAAGTATTTATGAATAAGTATTTATAAACATACAATTTAGTGTTTCAGGTAACTGAACAGCAAGTAAAGACCAAGATGTATTTTTACCATTTATATCTCGTAGAGAGAATAAAAGGGAGTTATTATTTTTCAAAATGCTATATGTGCCAATACCAGCTGTACCAAAATATGTCAAATTAACTTTCGAATAATTTGTATGACGTTCAATGTCATAGATATAAATTAAGTGGTTGGCATTATCTACAGCAGAAAATACGTATCCGCCGACAGGTGTTGAAGACACAACATTCCAGGGCACACCAGTTTCATTGGGAGTATTGAATAATTGTCCGGAGCCTATAATTGTTACTGAACAAAATATAATTTCTTCATAGTGCATTATTTTGTTGTAGACGATGGAAACAACACAAAAGTAACATAATCCAAAACATGCATTACAATGAACAGCATCAAATAGCATTCCTTCTTTAGTTATTTGAAGGAGAAGGATAGGATTGCCCATGGAAGCTGTATTAGTTGTATTGTAACCTATAAAGCTGACATATAATCCACCAAGTGAACTCATAAAATCGGATTTATCGGATAAATATTTGGCATATAATATTGCATAACCTTCATCAGCGGTGGCCAATGACGTCAAAAGGATAACTTTAGCGGCTGAATCTATTCTAATATTGTTATCCATCAACATTAATAAATTTCCATTAACATCACTATAATTATTACAATGATTTATTGATTAAATTGAAAAAAAAATCGAAAAATAAGATTATTAAAGAAATTAAATTACACCGAATATTGCGTTATAGTGATGGTGCTTGCGTTTTTATCGACTGCTCTAAGAAATCCTAGTTTGTTTATGTTTATTTCAATTAAAGTTTGATTCTGTTGATACTCTGCAAGGTTACCAAAGGTGTTAAAACATTTTTGACTGGTGATTTAAATAATAAATAATAATATTAACAGTTAGTTCATTCTTCAAAACATTTAAGACTTTGCATTACAAATTATCATCAGACCTTAAGTTTTCGCCTTTCCAATTTAGAACAGTTCCACACTCTTTCAAAGTCTCAGGATCATGAGGATCGTCAGTTTTATTTAAATAACTCACTAATATAAATTGTTGTCTTAAGGGTCGTATTGAAATAGGATTCACCGTTTTTCCAGAACCTGTGTTGTTAATTAAACAATAATTCACAGAATCAAGAGTTAAATTCTCATCAATTTTAGTGACGGATCCATCTAAATGGATAATTCTTATGATTAATATGGGTTCAAAACAATCTGGTTTTTTTGGATGATCTATAACAAGATGGATGAGGGTTGTTCCGTCATCATAAAATTGGATATCAATTACATAAGGTTGTGATTGGGTATTGATTGTACTCTCTGTATAGGTAAAATTTGTACATTTAGCAGTGTTAGGTGCAAGCTGCAAGTTTGTACAATTAGTAATCTGCAAGCTTGATTCCGTTGATGTTGATATAATGAAAAAGCTAAGCAATATAAAGAATAGGCATGATATGACAAGGTTACAAGATGTTTTTTTCATGATGAATCAATCACTTAATAGCTTTTAATTTTTACGTAGCACGTTAAGTAGACATACGAACGGTGCAAAAATTTAAAATTTTCAATCTTTATATACTGAGTCCGACAGAAATAATATAAAACCCTGACTGACTGAGCCAGCGGATAAAAGCCATTCTTAGGATCGCCCAAAACAAAGCGGTTATTAACTTGCCAGTTGGGGAATAGGGTAATAAATATATATATAATATTGATCCTTCATATTATTGCTGCCGGTGGAAACAAGACAAACCTGCCGACTCTTAATTTAAAAATTAGGAATCCTAGTAGTTAGTACACACAGTACGGAAAGGCAGATTATTATTAGAACGGGCGTGTAGAAATAGTCATGCAATATATATTATGATGAATATGTGGGGTGGGCTTGGGGTCTATTCTTCTCCCCGCGGACTTAAATATCTTTATTGACAAAATTTCTTTAAATTCCTTTATTTTTAATTTTTTTACTTATTGTCTCTCCAATCAATACTTTATTACATAATCTTTTTTCTGTTGTTATGCACAAAGATCCGGTGAATCACATAGTAGTTAAAAAAATTAATATTTACAATTAGGCCATACAAACTTAATAATTCAGTTTACAATATAAAATTTTAAAAGTGACCGGCAACCCGGCTTTTAATTTTATTTTCAAAAAATTATATATAAAAACATATAAAATTTTTTTAAAAAACTCGCCCGGATAGTAAATACGTATACTAACAAATTTTTTCTAAGGCTTTGTAAATTTTGACCCTGCCGGGTTTTGAAACCCGATTTATTAAATTTGTATGGCCTAACGAGAAATGTTTTTTAATTTTCTTATTATGATTGAATATTAATTAATCAAGTATACTGCGCCCTAGATACAGTATTTAACACAATAAAGAAGCTTGTTTATAATTATGAAACATAAATTTGCCAAATTTGTATTTGAGTATCGGTTTATTTGTTGCTATACTCCATTTGAAGCAAAAAATTACTTCGCGTTTTATATAGAGCTGAGCTGAGAGACGACTTAATACAGGGTTTGGGTCAAAATCCCGACAGGTCATAATCCCGACAAAAAAATCCCGACAATCAAAAATCCCGACAAATCCCGACAATCAAAAAAAGTGTTCGTTGAGCAATTTTACTATATAAAATCACCTATACCCTAACCCTAACCTAGGCGCACACCCTAACCCTAACCTATGCACTCACCTAATCTTACCCTAACTTAAATAAACAATAATTTTTTGTTGTCGGGATTTGTCGGGATTTCTACTGTCGGGATTTTTTGTCGGGATTATGACCTGTCGGGATTCTGTTTGTCGGGATTTTGACCAGCACCCGACGAAACCATTGACGAAACCATTTGCGTCATGCAAAAATCGTTGCGTCACCCATCATTAATTCAGACCAATATCGGACCAAGATATATGATTTTAAGCCACGATCTATGGTTCCAAACCCAGATCCTCTATACACAGCCATATCATATCTATAGCACTAACAAATATAGTAAAGAATGCTAATACAATAAAAAAATATATATTACATAGAAAATTCGAACATAAAATTTTTGTAACAACGCACATGCATACATTAACTCACTCCACTCTTTTATTGTTAGCTTGTCATAGATTATTCCTGTTTAAGTTTAAAGTTGTGTACAGATCTTCTTTTCTTATTGATTTTACCTTCCGCCACATTTCCTATATATTAAAACAAAAAGATTTTCGTCAAAAGATTTTATCATAAAAATTCTCAGAACATTCCTGATTATAGCCACGTTTCCATAATTAGATTATGTGTTAATCCTCAATCTTTCTTTGGGATAAGTAGATCGTTCTTAAAAAAGTTTATGAATAGACATTAAACATCCTATTTATTGGTGCGATCTTACTTGTGATCTGCCACATTTCCTTTTTGATATAACCGAAAGAATTTTCGTCAAAAAATTTTATATATCTTCGAAAGCATTATGTGCATGTTTCTATATTTGAATGATCCGTTCTGATACTGGAGTTGAATTTTATTTTATGAATTAGTTGCGAATTATTACAGTATTATCATTATGTGTTACGTATTAAAACTTAACGGATATGCACCCAAGATAGCAAATACGTAATATTGCGCCGAGTGATTAGCGTAAGCAGTTGAGTTTGTGCGACTTAGCTCTGGCAGTGGTTTCCCAACTGCATAACTCAGGCTGGCCGTTAATATAATATGAAAATGCCACGTTCATTAATTGTGATTTATATGTTTATAAAGCTGAAACAGAATTTGCTTCCGGAAAACAAACGATATTCGCTGGGAGATCACTGTAAGCAGTTGAGTTTGTGCGGCTTAGCGTTGCTGGTGGTTCCCGCCTACAAAATGTCGGCAATCGTCAGTCTGCATAATCATGTGATATTGATATACAGCGCATATGACATAAAAACAACGCCGCCTGTAGATCTCCCACAAAAACATTAGATAAAAATCACAAGGGGGATAAAATTTTTTGTGAGTGAGCTATAAAAACTTTATATCACGTGGCTCAAATATGATTGGTTATTGTTGTCGTTGAGAGTGTGTTACTCGTAAATTCCAAAAAGTTCAGGCATAGAAAGTCAACGAACTTAAATTACGAACATGGTCGAGGTAATTTTCCGGTAGACAACCGGAAAAATTCCGAAGGATAGATATTAAATAAATCGCATAAATATAAATTTATTTATTGGGAAGATTGAAGATCAAGGAACCCAGTGTGATAATCACATCACATGATTAAGTGTTCGGCCTACGTTAAGGTTGTTAGGGTTAGGTGATATGTTAGTTTAGGCTAATTTGTTTAGTCCCAGTAAACAAATGACGTAATTGCATTATTTCACGTGAAGTGATAATCACTGGGTTCAAGTGTCCCTAAAATACTTACATCGCTATATTTTTTATAATGTACTGTATTATTTATATAAATTTTTAAAAATTTGTCGCTAATAAAAGTTTTAATGTTGAGACCGATTCTAGGACCGAAAAGACGGACCAATAAACATTATAAAATCGAGTTTATCGTTTATTTTATGTACTTCTTAATTTGGTATAGTTTGTGGCATGGTTGGGTGATTGAAACCCTCAAGAGGGATAATAACCCTCAACGAGGGAGAATAGCCCTCAGCGAGGGATTAAAACCCCACACGAATTAAAGATATATAAGGGTGGTAACAACAGTTGTTAGAACGATAATAAAACGATTGCTGATAGTACTTAGTATATTGTAATATTCCGATGTATTGATTTATGTTAATAAAAAGAAACCTTGACTTGTAACTATGTGTGTTAGTTTATCGATTTAAACCATTTAACCTTAACGACTATTTGTTCACGATCGAAGCTAAATTGGTCCAAGACCTATAAATAGGGACGCCGGCGGCGCCCCGTTCTACTCTTGTAATACTGAAAAAATAAATGAAAAAAAAGTTCCAGGCTTAAAACCAGATTACAGTTAGATTGTTGGTACCTCGTGCTTATAGTTAAGTTAAATTTTTGATGAAAATCCTTTCTGTTTTAATCAACATACATAACGTATATGATGTTTTAACATCTGATCATAAATTTTATTGGAAATGATCTGCAGCATGCTAACAAAGAAGATGGCAAAAACGAGTAAGTCAACAAAAAATTAATCAATCATATCGATATGAATTTTCATTTTAACCAGAAAATTATGGATTCACATTTTCCCTTGGCAGCACTTATTTAATCGTTTTCTCATGACCTGGTTGCCATCTTTCAAATCAAAGTTTAAACAGCAAAGGTGTGTATACTTTTCGGGCATTTATCCTAGTGCCGTCTACGGTGTATTGAAATCTGATAGAGAATTGAAAGCGCATCGTGGCCAACTAACTTTTTATGGTTGAACGTTCTTCTCTATCAGTTATTAATACCTCGTAAGACATTTTTTCTGGCCGTGAGCCTAGCTCAAAAAAAAAAAAAAAAAAAACAGAGCGAAGCCGGTCGTTCATGTCAGGGTGAGTCGTAAGGCCCCGGTGGATATTTTATCTTTATATTCTATCTTTTTTTTTTTTTACTTTTTATTCATATCTATTTTTTATTTTATATCTGTTTTTTTTTTCATTTTTTATTCATATCTATTTCATATTTTATATCTGTTTTTTTTGATATCACATACTGGAAAAGACATTTCTTTTCTAATGGTTTTTTTTTTCTTTATTTAGATGCCTGCAAAGCGAAAAAACAAAGCAGAGTCTGTTCAGACCAAAATCAAACATTTAGAACTTGAAAATTTAAAATTACAATATAAGCATAAAAAGCTTATTCAAGATTTCAATCAGTTAAAAATAGCATATGAAGTCTTAGAGTCCGAAAACAAAACATTTCATATGTTAATTTCTTTTTTCTTTTTAATTCTTATAATATGTATTGCGATCTCATTATTATAAATAAAATTATGATATTAAAGTCGGTGCCTCCAGCACGCGAAGCTTTTTTTAAAAAAACTATTCAATACTGTAAAAAATTCTGTTATTCTGATAATTAAAGTTTGTGCTAATAAGTTATATATCGTTTTGAATACAAACTAAACTACAATGTGATACGAGATGCTATAATTTAAACAAAGAAATTCATAAGATTTTAAGATGTTTATAGAGTAGTGTTGTGGACCCTCACTGGACGTCCAGATATTTCCAGTGATTCCGGTGAAGTTTTCACTGGAACTTATATAATACTAGCCAATAAGATTACGAATAAGAATTAAGGTTATTATTAACACGTGATATTGGGTGTTCGGTATACTATCTAAATCAAAACTATATAAATTTTATTAATTAAGATTTTTAGATTGATAATAACTTTAATAATAATTAATACAAATTTTAAATAGATGTACAGCCCTAACGGTTCGATAGTTTTGAATAAAATTTTGCAAATACAAGCAATACGTCGTTACGAACCAAGTTACAGAGCCATTTCTTTAAAAGAAACTAAATTAAAAACTTTTTTCTTGCCTTTTTTACTAAGAAAAAAAAAAAAACATACAGTATAGTATATTAAAAATTTTCATGTTTAAATAAATGAAATTGCTCTGTAATTTTGTTTATAATGACGCAATGCTGGTATTTGTAAAATTTTAGCCAAAACTATCGAACCATTAAAGCTGTGCATCTATTTAAAATTTATATTAATTATTATAAAAATTATTATCAATCAAAACCTTAATTAATAAATTTTATTATATGACCATATGTAGTTTTGATTTACATAGTATACCGAACAGCCCAACATCAGTTGCAAAAATACTTTTCATTTTACTATATTACGTGTAAATCAAAAATAGAGAATTCTACTGGTAACACTAGGGTTGTAATCAAGGCAAGGTTAATAACTTAAATGGTAAAGTACCAATAATATTAATGTTGATATTATTATATTTATTGTCTAATTCGTACGTACGTACAAAAACTGTTGCAACGTAGTATAATTTAATCACATGAAATGGCATCCAATCAGATCCTCGAATTCGGATACACCCTTTCACTTCCCACTTAACCATGCACTCCGTTCCTGGTACCTTATTTTAAAATAAAGTTCTGAGAATAAAATCACGGAATATACGAATGTGCATAGATAGTACGTAATTTCATTGCAAATCGTAAACAAATCAAAAAATGTATCCCGTTAAATCGGCAGCCACATCATAGAAAGGATTATTTATCCCCAACTATGCCTTAAGAGATTATATAGATATGCATGTGATTGTATGCGATTAGAGATTATAGATATGCATGCGACAGAGATTATGATTAAATCCGGATATAAATGAATAAACCCAGATCCAAGTATTAACTCCAGTCTGTACCCTTAAATTTTTATCGATATACTTTACTTTTATGTTTTGTTAAAGACTAAAATGATTCGACATAGTGTTCCGAACCGGATCAAAAATCACGGATTTATCCGGGATTGAACCGAAATCGATGCAATCCCCGGATTCGGATCAAATCCGGTCAATCCGGCCAATCCGGGGATTATCAGGATTATCAAAAAAAAAAATTTTTTTTTTTATAACGATAACCACTCTGAACGTTAAATTTCTTTATTTTAGCTAGAATAAGCGAGTTGAATCTAATTCAACATGCCAAAGTAGCCCGTCTAAGTCTATTGTATTTTGAATTTATACTCTAGCCATATAAACAAACCAACAAAGGCACTTCGTAAGAATACCACACCAAAAGATTTGAGTCTTAGTGGTATTAATCTTGGATCAGAAGTAGAAAAAGCACTTTGCAAGAATACCTCTTCTTGGATCAGAAGCAGAAAAAGCACTTTGCAAGAATACCTCTTTAATGTCTTTAAATATTTCTTTGAATTATCTTGGTTCTGAAGGAGGAAAAGCATTAGCTGATGCACTTTGCAAGAACTCCTTAACGTTAGATCTCAATAATAATCATGGATCCGAAGGAGAAAAAGCTTTGGCTAATGCATTTTGCAAGACACCTCTTAACAATGTTAAATCTCGGTAGTAATGTTCTTGGATCAGAAGAAGGAAAAGTATATATTGAAATATATTCTACTTATTCAACCGGATCACTGGTATGTTGATTTAGGTTCGACTTTTCTCATTCTAATCGTATTACATATTATGTGTATTATACTAATTACAACTTTTTGATCTTTTTTTTTCATTGTCGATTTACTTGTTCAACCGAATCACTGGTATTGTTGATTAGGTTCGACTTTGGATCTTTTTTTTTCATGGTTGATTTACTTGTTCAACTGGATCACTGGTATGTTGATTTAGGTTCGACTTTGCCCATTCTAATCGAGTTTGCTAAATTATGTGTATTATACTAATTACAATCTAGTTATATGAACTTTTAATCTATTTTTTTTCATAGTCGATTTACTTATTCAACCGGGTCTCTGGTATATTGATTTAGGTTTGACTTTGCCCATTCTAATCATGTTTGCTAAATTATGTATATTATACTAATCACTACTCGGTTACTTGAACTTTTTGATCTTTTTTTTTTCATGGTCAATTTACTTGTTCAACTAGGTCTCTTGGTATATTGATTTAGGTTCAACTTTACCCATTCTAATCGAGTTTGCTAAATTATGTGTATTATACTAATCACTGCTGGGTTACATGAACTTTTTGATCATTTTTTTTTCATAGTCAATTTACTTATTCAACCGGGTCTCTTGGTATGTTGATTTAGGTTCGACTTTACCTATTCTAATTATGTTTGCTAAATTATGTGTATTATACTAATTACAACTAGGTTACTTGAACTTTTTGATCTTTTTTTTTCATGGTTGATTTACTTGTTTAACTGGATCACTAGTATGTTGATTTAGGTTCGACTTTGCCATTCAATCGAGTTTGCTAAATTATGTGTATTATACTTGAACTTTTTGATCTTTTTTTTTATGGTCAATTTACTTGTTCAACTGGGTCTCTAGTATGCTAATTAGGTTCGACTTTACCCATTCTAATCATGTTTGTTAAATTATATATATTATACTAATCACTGCCGGGTTACTTGAACTTTTTGACTTTTTTTTTCATGGTCAATTTAATCGTTTAACCAGATAACTGGTATGTTGATTTAGGTTCAACTTTGCTTATTCTAATCATGCTTGCTAAATTATATGTATTATACTAATTACAATCGGATTGCTTGAACTTTTTGATCTTTTTTTTTCATGGTCGATTTACTTGTTTAACTAGATCACAGGTATTATTCCAGCTGGGTCAATTTGTTATACTGAATTAGATCTATTTAATCAGTCACTTTGGTATGTTGAATTAGGTTAAATTTGATTAGCCAGGCTGTTTTGGTAGATTCAACCTGCTTATTCTTAGTGTTTAGATATATTCGGTCCCACGTGTTACTTAACATCGAAGTTGCGCAGGGTGAATAATTAATATAATTAACTTAATAAGAGATAAGGCTATGTAATTGTGATAGATTTGTATTGTCTATTTTAATAGACCAATGATGTAATTATACAAGAATGTAAATAAATAATGAGGCTCGATCTGTAAGATTGAATTTTTACTTCAATTTTCTTGTATAAAACAAGTTCTTAATAAATATCATTATACTACCTTGAAATATTTGGTATGTTGAATTAGATTCAACTTGTTTGTTTCAGCCAGATTACTTAGGTATATTGAGTTAAGTTTAATCTATCTTACTTATTCTAGCAGAATCGTCTTGGCATACTTATTTCACTAGGTCACTTGGTATATTTAAATTAGGCTTGGCTTGCTTATTCCAGCCAGGTTATATTGGTATTTTGAATTTGGCTCAATATATCATTTCACTAATCAGTTTGGGATATTGAATTATACTCAATTTGACTATTCTAGCTAGGTCATTTATTATCTTCAACTGGTATTCCAGCCAGGTCATTTTGATATATTTGATAAGGATCAACTTGCTTTTTTCGACTGAGCCATTTTGTTATATTAAATTATTAGGCTCAATATACTTATTTTAGTACTTCCCTTGATTATTTCATCTGGTTTATTTGGTATATTGAATAAGGTTCAACTTGTTTTTCAGACCAAGTCACTGTTATATTGATTATATTCAATATATTTATTAGGTTATTATACATATTCTAGCCGAATCATTTTGGTATGTCAAGTTACGTTCTACTTGATTATTTTAGCCAGCTCATTTACTCATTTTGGTATATGAATTAGATTCTGTTCAATTTTTTCAGCCAGGTTATTTTGGTATGTTGAATTAGGTTCAATTTGATTATCCTAATTCGACGTACCAAAATGATCTAGATGAGTTTAATGTGATTATTCCAGCTAGGTCACTTGGTATGATGATTTAGGTTTAACTTTGCCATTCTAATTGTATTTGCTAAATTATGTGTATTATACTAATTACAACTGGGTTACTTGAACTTTTTGAATTTTTTTTTTCATGGTCGATTTACTTGTTCAACCGGGTCTTTGGTATGCTAATTAAGTTCGACTTTACCTATTCTAATCATATTTGCTAAATTATAGGTTACTTAAACTTTTTGAACTTTTTTTTTCATGGTCAATTTACTTGTTCAACCAGGTCTCTGGTAATTTGATTTAGGTTCAATATTGCTCATTCTAATCGAGTTTGCTAAATTATGTGTATTATACTAATTACAACTGGGTTACTTGAACTTTTTGATCTTTTTTTTTCATAGTCAATTTACTTGTTCAACCAGGTCTCTGGTAATTTGATTTAGGTTCGACTTTGCCCATTCTAATCAAGTTTGCTAAATTATGTGTATTATACTAATCACTACCAGGTTACTTGAACTTTTTGAACTTTTTTTTTTATAATTGATTTACTTGTTCAACCAGATTACTGGTATGTTGATTTAGGTTTGACTTTGCACATTCTAATCGTGTTTGCTAAATTATGTGTACAGTCGT